AGGAGTCGTGCTACTGGTGCTGGAGGTACTGCTGCTCGAGGTGCTGCGGTTGGAGCTGCTGGAGCTGCTCGTCGTGGAGGCACTTGGGGTGCTGGCGCTGAGGGTCCTGGAGGTGCTCGTACCGGAGGTGCTCGAGCTGCCGGGGTCCGTGGTGCTGGAGGCACTGGAGCTGGAGAGCCGCGCGTTGGAGTTCGAGACCTTGGAGCTGGAGGTGCTGGCCCTCGAGGTGCTGGCCCAGGGGGTACTGAGTCTGTTGGTGCTGAGCCTAGGGGTGCTGAGTCTGCTGGAGGTCCTCCTGGTGCCGCGTTGCAGCGGTCACCTCTCTCGCCGCGGCAGCTGCGCGAGTGGCTTGCTTCGCGCACCCGCCTTCGGAGTCGCGCGGCCGGAGCTGGAGGCACTGGAGCTGGGGGCGCTGGAGCTGGAGACCCTAAGGCTGTAGGTGCCGGTTCTGGGGGTACTGCTGCTGGAGGCAATGGAGCTGGGGGACCTGGAGCTGGTGCTGTCGACCCTGGATTTAGAGACCCTGGAGCTGGAGGTGCCGGTTCTAGGGGTGCTGCTGCTGGGGGCACTGGAGCAGGAGGCTCTGGAGCTGGTCCTGTCCACTCTGGAGTAGGAGACCCTGGAGCTGGAGGTGCCGGTTCTGGGGGTGCTGCTGCTGGAGGTCCTGGGGCTGGAGGTTCTGGAGCTGCTGGAGGAGCTGGTGCTGCTGGTGCTCGTCCTGGAGGTGCTGGAGCTGCCGGAGCAGGTGGTGCTGCGGGCTTTAGAGCTGGAGGCGCTGGCGCTGGAGGCGCTGGAGCTGGAGACCCTGGAGCTGGAGGTACTGGAGCTGGAGGCTCTGCTGCTGCTGGAGGTGCTGGTGCTGGTGGTACCAGTGCTGGTGGTACTGCATAGCCGCGACTGTTCTTCGCTCCGCCATCACCGTCGTCTCTGCCACCGCCTGACTACGTGCTTTGCCAGGTTCTTCGCCTCCCGTCTTCTACTGGCCTCCCGTTATAGCCAGGCTCTCCACTGCCTGCTCCTTCTCCTTACACTGAGCTGACAGACTCGCTTACAGAGTGTTGTGAGCCTGCGTCTTGTCCTGCCTCGCCAGTTCGCGCTGGTCGCACTGGTCGTCTAGACTTCGCTGCTAGTCTTCTTGCTGAGTCTGAGTCTGTCTATCCTCCGTCCGTCGGGGGTGAGTGTGCTCTTGGCACGGACGTCCTTGAGGACAGGCAGGAGGACTTTGGGTGTCTTGCAGCCGCTGCGCCTCATCTCGTGGCCATGCTGCTTGCCCCTGAGGGAGACCCGGATGCTCCAGACATCCCGACCCCGTGCTCTTACGCTGAGGCGATCGCGGGTGAGTACTCCTCTCAGTGGCAGACAGCCATGGACGCAGAGATGGCATCCTGGAAGTCCACAGGCACTTACGTCAACGCACTTCCCCCTCCTGGGGCGAACGTAGTCGATGGCATGTGGATTTTCAGGGTGAAGCGGCCGCCGGGTTCTCCGTCTGTCTTCAAGGCTCGTTACGTTGCACGAGGCTTCAGTCAGCGACACGGAGTTGACTTCTTCCATACCTTCTCCCCCACCCCGAAGATGACCACTCTTCGGGTGCTGCTGCACGTTGCCGCTCAGTGTGACTACGAGCTTCACTCTCTGGACTTCAGCACAACGCTCTTACAGGGCAGTCTGCACGAGGAGATCTGGCTGCGCTGCCCACCTGGCTTCACTGGGTCGTTCCCTCCTTGTACCCAGTGGAGCCTCCGCCGGCCGGTCTACGGTCTCCGTCAGGCGCCTCGCGAGTGGCACAACACACTGAGGATGACACTTGCGGCTCTTGGGTTTGCACCTTCCACTGCTGACCCGTCGTTGTTTCTGCGCACCGACACTTCGTTGCCGACGTTCTACATCCTCGTGTACGTCGACGACTTGGTCTTTGCCACTGCTGACACTGAGGCTCTCGCCCTTGCGAAGTCGGAGCTGCAGAAGAGACACACGTGCACAGACATGGGTGAGCTGCGCAGCTACCTTGGCTTGCAGATCACCCGGGACAGAGCACGGCGCACCATCACACTGACTCAGTCACAGATGGTGCAGCAGGTCCTTCAGCGCTTCGGCTTCACTTGGTCCTTGCCACAGTCCACTCCCCTGGCTACAGGTCACTCGCTCTCAGCTCCACCTTCGGACGATTCCATAGAGCCGAGTGGTCCGTACCCAGAGCTAGTGGGCTGCCTCATGTACCTGATGACCTGCACTCGTCCTGACCTTGCGTACCGTCTTGGCCTTCTGGCACGCTACGTGGCTCCTAGTAGGCACCGAAAGGTGCACTTCGATGCTGCGAAGAGGGTACTGCGCTACTTGTGCAGTACATCGGGCATGGGGCTCGTGCTTGGAGGGCGGAGTCCAGTTGTCCTCACTGGGCACTCAGACGCTTCTTGGGTTGACGACTTGGCTACGCATCGGTCGTCACAGGGTTACACGTTCAGCCTTGGCTGTGGCTCTGTTTCTTGGCGGTCTACACGCTCGTCTTCTGTTCTCAGCTCCAGTTGTGAGGCTGAGATCTACGCCACTGCCATGACTGCACAGGAGTTACGCTGGCTCACCTACCTTCTGACCGACTTGGGAGAGAGTCCTCGTTCTCCACCAGTTCTGTACGCCGACAACAAGGCTGCCATTGCATTGTGTCAGGACCACAGACTGGAGCACAGAACGAAGCACATCGCTCTGCGTTACTTCCTTGCTCGAGAGTTGCAGCAGCGTGGTCAGCTTCGTGTCGCTCACGTGCCCACCCGAGCGAACACGGCTGATGTGTTCACCAAGGCCCTTCCAGCTTGTGATCATCAGCGCTTCTGCACTGCTCTAGGCCTGGTGCCTACGTTTCCTCACTCATTGTAGACTTTGGTTGTACTGTGATCTATACACATACATATACCTGCATGTTTACTCTTGCTAGGTAGTGATCACTTTACTGTTGTTGTTGCATATATACCTCTGCATGTGAACTGGCCTTGTGGCCCTTTGCTTGTGCTCGGAGTATGTGGTGACGTTGTGATCCACCCTGAGCTTGCATTGGTTTCCTTGACTGGTCCTGTGACCCCTTGTTCTCCCCCACTTTGCCTATGGGGGTGTGTCAAACTATATCTGTGCTAGTTCTATGTAGGCTATAGTGGGGTAGCCCATATGGGGTACAACCCAATGTTAGGGTTAGTACTTGTACCCACAACTCATTCAATGCAGTCATTCTTGCTTGCTATCTTGACAGAAGCAATAGTAGAAGCAGCAGTGTAGCAATAGAAACCGGTCTGCCAGGCAACTAGGCAGCGCGGCGCGGCTCAGCAGGGCGGCGCGGCTCAGCAGGGCGGCGCGGCTCGAGCGGTGCAGCGCGGCTCGGGCGGTGCAGCGCGGCTCGGGCGGTGCAGTGCGGCTCGGGCATGGCGGGGCAGTGCGGCGCTGGCAGCAGCAGCAGCGTAGCAGTGGCTGCAGCGCTGGCAGGGCGGGCAGGGCGGGCAGGGCGCAGGGCAGGGCGAAGGGCAGCGCGGGCAGGGCGCTTAGGGCCGCGCGCTGACTGTGCAGGCAGATCGCGGGCAGGGCGGGCCTTAGGGGCAGCGCGCAGGCGACGCCAGCGGCGCGCGGGCAGCGCGCGAGCAAGGCGTGCAGTGCGCGGGCAGGGCGCCGGCTGTGCAGGCAGCGCGCGGGCAAGGCAGGCCGCGCGCATGCAGGAAACGCAGCGCGCGGGCAGCAGCAGCAGCGCGCGGGCAGCGCAGGCAGTGCGCGGACTGTGCAGGCAGCTGGCGGGCAGGGCGCGCGTAGGCCTAAGAAAGCGCGAGAGCAGGGCAGCGCGAGCGGGTCGCGCGCTAGGCAGCTGTGCAAGCAGCGCAACGGGCAGGGCAGGCCGTGCAGGGCAGTGCAAGCAGGGCAAGGCAGTACGGGCAGTTCGGGCAGGGCAGTGGGGTAACGCGGTAACCGCAGTCGGAATGGTGGGCCCGGAAAAAAAAACGGTCCTGCGGACCTACTGCTCTGAAACCATGTCAGAATGAGAAGCTAGAATGACTGCATTGGAAGAATTGTGGGTACAAGTACTAGCCCTAACATTGGGTTGTACCCGATACAGGCTACCCCACTATAGCCTACACAGAACTAGCACATATATAGTTTGACAGGTACTTCACGACACACAGCACAGCAAGGAGCAGCGCACCACACAGCAGCCCTGGGGCCTGGCGTCTCTCACCAGCCTAACACTGAGTGGTTCTTCACAGATCGCCTCTCTCCCTGATTCTTTCTCCATGCTCTCTGCCCTCTCTTCCCTCACCCTAACCCTCATGCGCGGCCTCTCCAACCTGCCAGAATCCCTCGGACGGCTGGAAAACCTCAGCTTCTTGAAGCTCGAATACCTGGATAAGTTATCTGTGCTGCCCAAGTCACTCCGGCAGCTGAAAAACCTTGACACGCTCGAGCTGTGCTATTTGCCGGACCTGAACTCTCTGGCCGGGTCACTCCGTTGGCTGCCCAAGCTGAAAGAGCCGTTGCTGAGCGACGTGGGGAGGGTGACAGAGTGGTGGTGGATTGATGCCATCCCATATGTTAGGTCCGCCAGAATGCGGATGATGCTTCACTGAACTCAAGGCTCCCATGCAGACCCTGTCTTTCTTGGTACTTGCACGCACAATTAATTGTCGCTACACGGTCTAACCAGTTTGACAGAGTGGTGCTGGATTGATTGTCAAAACATGCCTGCTAATTGTAGCTACCAGTGTTGCATATACACAAAGTTAAGTATGGGCAAAATTACTTGCATCCTGGGCTGTAGTGCATGCAAGATTACATTACAGGAGCAGCGGCTGAATTATACGGGCATAAACAGCACGGGCACCACAAGTCCCCCATCAACGCACCTAATACAAGCAAGTCCTTACCCCTCACCCAAACAGCATTCCACTAGATTCCAATCTGCACCACCCAACTCAACAAATGCCTGCAATTCTACACCCCCAACAGATGCCTGCAATTCTGCAGCTGCGTCAATAAATGTCATGCGGGACGACCATCTCGGACACGGCATGGATGGTGAACTGCGACCCGTTGAACAGATTCGGCATCACAATCGGCACGGGCGCCCCACCCTTGCCCTTCACAGCCACGAGCAGCCCGCCCTTGCGCCCGCGCTTCACCAGGCTCGTGCCCTCCAGTGTTCTCAGCCGCCGCCCGCGCGGCTGGTAGCGCAGGCGGCGGAAGTCGTAGCGGCCTTGCAGGATGTGGTAGGCGATGAGCTGCTGCTGCTTCTGCGAGGAGAAGGCCGCCATGAAGAAGCGGATGGTGTGCGCGTGCAGCGGCAGCAGGATGGTCACCCCGTTCAGCGGGATGAGCGACGTCACTAAGAGATAGCAAGAGGGTGGCGAGGGGAGAAAAAGGGAACAGAAAGGGAAGGGAAGGGGGAGTGGAGGGAGGTGAGGGTGGGGGGAAGGGAAATAGGGGGGGAAGGGCGGGGGAGGATAAGGTGTTGTGATAGTGAAGGGGGACGGAGCCCGTGCCTTGCCAGCAGGGATGGGCGACGCCACTGCGAAAACAGGGGCGGTGGGGGAGATAAGGGGGGCGCAGAGGAGAGGGGGGAAGAGGGGGAGAGGGAAGGATGAGTGGAGGGAGGAAAGAGGCGAGAAGAGGGGAATGGAGGGGAGAGGTGGGAAGTGAAGGGGAGAGGAGGGGAGTGGAATGGAGGAAGGAGGAGAATGGAAGAGAAGAGGAGACCCCAAGGGAGTGCTTGAACGGCGAGAGAAAGGGTCGTATGCGCAGGCGCTTGCGCTCGTAGTCGCTGCGACAGTGAAGAAGGAAGCACGACTTGTGCTGACAGCAGAATAATCAACCCGTTCAGCAGGATGACAGACGTGTCTGCGCGGAGTGTGGGGAGAGGAGGGGAGAGGAGGGGGGAGGTGGGAAGAGGAGGGGAATGAGGGGGAAGGAGGGGAGAGTAGGCAGAAATCAACTCAATGGCGAGAGCGAAGCTCGAATGCACGGACGCTCGCGGTTCCGGCGACCGTGAAGGCGAACGCGGGCCGTAATGAAGCAAGAGAGCGCTTTTCCCGTCTGCGGTGGTTGGCTGAACGACTGGAGAAGGACTCCAAAAGCTTCCGCTGCAGGGAACGACTCTGAGAGAGAAACTGATTGGCGAGGAACCAAAAAGGGGGGGTTCCGAGTCCTGAAGGGCGGATTGTCCGGCGTACCGCACAGGGTACCGCACAGGGTACCGCATAGTAGGGTACCGCATAGTAGGGTACCGCATAGTAGGGTACCGCATAGGTTATTGCACGCCGTCAACTGCCGCTGCGCCGGACGCAAGGAGCGCCGCGTTCCTGCTGTTGGAACCCCCAGCGATAACCAACCCTAATTGAAGGTCGTATACGAGAATTATCAAACACGAGCGCCGCGTTCCCGCCTATGAACTCCCCCGCCCAGTGATACCCGACCCTAATCGCGATTCCGAGGAAGAACTCCTCCTGTTTCCCACCCCTTCTGTAACGTATTACCCTAACTACCGAGCTAACAACCATCGATCTCTCTCTAAGTCAATTGTTGAGAACTTCTCTCGACAAAGGAAGAGTTGGAGAAGATGGTTGAGTTGGTTGGGATGAAACTTGGTTTGGGTTTGCCAAGCCTCAACTTTGGAGGTTTGGAACATTTCCAACTCAACCAAGAGAATGTTGAAGGTTGGAATTCCAACCAATCAGAAACTGCCAAACAAGTGTTACAATCTACTCTATCCTAAACACAACCATTGAATGGTTCTAAGTTGGGTTTTCCAACCCAACACAATTGCCACATAGGCTCCAAGCCTAGGAACCATCCCACCATGGAAACCATGGTTGGGATAGTTCCCCAAGGGGTGTATTGAGGGGGTCTGAGCTAAGCAAGCTCATTCTCAACCTCCCACTCCAACAAAACAATTGGAAATGGGATTGTTTCTCTAAGTCCTTTTGGGCTCTCTCACAAGTCTCCCTACACTACTACTCCAAGTGCTTTTCATCAAAGGCATCAAGAAGATCTTCATCTCCAAGGCTATTAAGGCTAGTTAAAGCTACTATTTTGTATTGGAATATTATAAAAGCCTTGTAACCGCCATTATAATAGCCCTGGGCATTACACCTTCTCCCCGCAAGCAGCCGTACGTATTAGGTCAATGACGTCGTTGATTGGTCCAAATATGCGCATCTTCTTGAGCTGCTTCTTGGACTGCTGAATCTCCCTCGCCATCTTCGTCGATATGCCCGGCTGCTGCGCGTGCGAGGAGGGCAGCAGGGCGAGCAGGAGAGAGAGGAGGACGAGCGCGACTAGCAAGTGATGTGGATATATTGATCGAGAGACGACGCGACGAGCCATCGTAGCTTGGCTAGTGGACGATAAAGTAACGGGTGATGGTTGGGAACGGATGTTTAGAATTCTCTAAAACCGACAGCGACGGCTTAGTACTAATGGCAATACCGGAGTCGCCAATCTGGCTTGTACGTGCGTGATCATGTGAGATTAGCGAGTCGCTCGAAGCCGCAATTAAGGACGCATCTTGTTATATCGAATAGCAGGACAACTACTAACGTGGGCAAAATCTTTGGGAGTGCTCGAAGCGGAACACCGCAGTATGCTGGACTTTCTGCGCAACGCAAGCGCGGGCTTTGGTGTGGAGGGGGCACCGCCACACCACCAACCTAGCTTTCGCAAAACACCACCGACTGAGGGCGCGTCCAACTCGTCACAGCTCAGGTCACTATCAACCGTTTTCTGTAGTTTGACCGCTTCAAGTTTTGAGATCAGCCAAGATGGTGCGCTTGGTTCTCCCACATGCGAAACCAGTCCGTGGAAAACCACAGTTCCCAATTCAAAAATTTCGAACGAGTTGCAAACTGGATACCACCCAGTCATACCGATCACCGCAGAAGAGCTGCAGAGTGTTGTGGATGTGACGTCACACAACGTATGTGGTGCCGAGGCGAAAGCTTTAGAAACGTTCTGTAGATTTTGAAACCGGACCGGACCGGACTCTACCTCTCAGTGGCTCCTTGTATCCACCTTTCACCCCACTTCCATTTTGCGAGTGCAGTTTTGGAGAGCAGGAGTTGCGATTTTTGGCAGAATGCCTTTCGTAGTAAAACGGCGCTGACGTTCAATAATAAATTGTCGTTTCCGACTTGTGGATGAGCATTATTTGGTGAACACCTCGCGGTCTCTTACTGTTACGGTCACTTACTTGCCAAGTCTGCGGCTTCCAGTAGCTAACCTTCGCCCATGGCGTCGCACAGGCCAGCGGTAACGGCGACGAGCGATAGCGGGGCCGTCGAGCTGACGAGGCACCAGCACGGCAAGTCGCGCGTGCGGCTGGGGCGCGTGTGGCGGCGCGGCGGCGAGCACGCGATGGTGGAGTGGAGCATCGACATCTCGCTCGCCTCCAAGGCCGACGCGTCGTTCCTCGGCGACGACTGCTCCGCTGTCGTCGCCACCGACACCATGAAGAACACGGTGCGCTGATGGTGATGGGATGTGCAGTGCGGTGCTGAGGCGCGCAGTGCGTGCGAGGATGTTGAAGTGCGGGGATGCGCGCTGTGTAGGGATGCGCGCTGTGCGGGGATGCGCGCTGTGTGGGGATGCGCGCTGTGCGTGGATGCGCGCTGTGCGGGGATGCGCGCTGTGCGGGGATGCGCGCTGTGTGAGGATGCGCGCTGTGGGGGGATGCGCGCTGTGCGGGGATGCGGCGCGCTGTGTGGGGATGCGCGCTGTGCGGGAATGCTCGCTGTGTGGGGATGCGCGCTGTGTGCTGATGCGCGCTGTGTGCTGATGCGCGCTGTGTGCTGATGCGCGCTGTGTGCTGATGCGCGCACTAGGATGGTGATGAGTCGCGCAGTGCGGGGATGCGCTACGCGCGTTGTGCTGATGTGCGCGGTGCGGTGATGAGCGCAGTGAGTGGAATAACAAGGTGCGGTGATGAGCGCAGTGAGTGGAATAACAAGGTGCGGTGATGAGCGCAGTGAGTGGAATAACAAGGTGCGGTGATGAGCGCAGTGAGTGGAATAACAAGGTGCGGTGATGAGCGCAGTGAGTGGAATAACAAGGTGCGGGGATGCGCGCAGTGCGGTGATGAGCCGCGCAGTGCAGAGATGCGATGATTGCGGTGATGCGCGGTGCGGTGAGGGGAGGAAAGCGGCGAGGGGGGGGAAAACATTTATTGGCAACTGAAGTCACGTTTTGACAAGCTTGCCCTCCGCGTCGCCATTCATCATCCCATGACGAACGCTATGCGCAAAGAGTGAGGCGCACCTGACGCACCTGTATCACCTGACGCACCTGTATCACCTGACGCACCTGACGCACCTGACGCACCTGTATCACCTGACGCACCTGACGCACCTGACGCGTCTCCTCACAGAGAGTGGGGACGCAGAGGAGGAGGTGGGCTCTTCTCACTTGAGGCGCCCTTGCTTCTGCGTGCTGACGTGCCACACATAATGACATGACATGACGTGCCATATGGCGGTCATGCGGCACCTGTCCATCCGACTAGAGTGCCGCATGCACGATGGCTGCATGCTACCACTGCATGCATGCTACCACTGCAAGCAAGCTTTCTGCTCACACTTTCTTCACGGCTGCTTCTCGCTTTCTGCTTGTTCCTGCCTCCATGCATGCAGGTGTATGTGCTGGCGAAGCAGTCCACCAGCGAGTTACCACCAGAGCTGTTCGCCATCAAGCTGGGCCGCCACTTTGTGTCCTTCTATGACGTGGTTAGTTCGGCCCCCCCAGTGCGCACTCAGTCACTCCTTCCCCTGTGCAATACGCACACACGCTCGTACTCGTTTCCCCTTGTCACTTCCTCCCATTTCTTCCCCCCATCGGTTTCCCCTATCTCCCCCTCCCCTCCTCGCTTCTAACCCCCACCGCTCCCCCCCACCAACTCCTTCCACTGCTTTCCCCTGTCTCTACCCCCCACCGCTTCCCCCTACCGCTTCCCCCCACCGCTTCCCCCCTACCGCTTCCCCCGACCGCTTCCCCCTACTGCTTCCCCCTACAGCTTCCCCTGACCGCTTCCCCCTACAGTTTCCCCCTACCGCTTTCCCCTACAGCTTCCCCCCACCTCTTTCCCCTCTGCTGCACCATTGGAGCACAGGTCATCGGCATGCGCCATGCGCGGCATGCACCATGCGCGGCATGCACCATGCGTGGCATGAACCATGCGCGGCATGCACCATGCGTGGCATGCACCATGCGTGGCATGAACCATGCGCGGCATGCACCATGCGTGGCATGCACCATGCGTGGCATGCATGCACCATGCGTGCCATGCATGCACCATGCGTGGCATGCATGCACCATGCGCGGCATGCACCATGCGCGGCATGCACCATGCGTGGCATGAACCATGCGCGGCATGCACCATGCGCGGCATGCACCATGCGTGGCATGCACCATGCGTGGCATGCATGCACCATGCGCGGCATGCACCATGCGCGGCATGCACCATGCGCGGCATGCACCATGCGCGGCATGCACCATGCGTGGCATGCACCATGCGTGGCATGCATGCACCATGCGTGGCATGCATGCACCATGCGTGGCATGCACCATGCGCGGCATGCACCATGCGCGGCATGCACCATGCGCGGCATGCACCATGCGCGGCATGCACCATGCGCGGCATGCACCATGCGCGGCATGCACCATGCGCGGCATGCATGCACCATGCGCTGCATGCACCATGCGCGGCATGCACCATGCGCGGCATGCATGCACCATGCGTGGCATGCATGCACCATGCGCGGCATGCACCATGCGTGGCATGCACCATGCGTGGCATGCACCATGCGTGGCATGCATGCACCATGCGCGGCATGCACCATGCGTGGCATGCATGCACCATGCGCGGCATGCACCATGCGTGGCATCCATGCACCATGCGTGGCATGCACCATGCGCGGCATGCACCATGCGCGGCATGCACCATGCGCGGCATGCACCATGCGCGGCATGCACCATGCGCGGCATGCACCATGCGCGGCATGCATGCACCATGCGCTGCATGCACCATGCGCGGCATGCACCATGCGCGGCATGCATGCACCATGCGTGGCATGCATGCACCATGCGCGGCATGCACCATGCGCGGCATGCATGCACCATGCGTGGCATGCATGCACCATGCGCGGCATGCACCATGCGTGGCATGCACCATGCGTGGCATGCACCATGCGTGGCATGCATGCACCATGCGCGGCATGCACCATGCGC